CATGTACTACCCCCTGGAAATAAACCAGTGATGCTACTTCTGGATTAAAGTAGATTTTAAAGTACGTGCCAATCAGCAAGTGCTAGTGATCTGCCTAATACAGACAGATGCTATAATAACTTAATGGAAATAGATTGATGTACTTTCATTTATCGTTGAAAATTATATTTCATTTTGTTGCTGTACATTTACATGATGGTTTGGATTCATGGAGATTATCTGTGTTTTATCCTCTTCTCACTGTAAAACGCTCCTTTAGTGACATCTAGTGTTCGAACCGAGGATGTAAATATGCATCTTTATGTATTTTCTGTCATTGTTTATTTTTAGTCATGGTTCTGAGTGAGATTTTAATTTGCATGCAGAAAACATTTCTTTCTCTGGGTGGTGGAATGAGATTAGTCACCAAAAAAGGCCCTAACAAATGTTATCAAAACTATGCAACTGGTAATGATTCAAAAGTCCAGCACTGCTGAGAACAGTGAAGTGGGTGTGATTTTGTTTGCAGTGATATACTCACTTGTTAATGAAGGAAATCCAAGATTTAATGGCCATAAAATGACTCATTCACCTTTACAGCCTAGTATTGGACATGGACTTTCGGACTTTATAACTTCTTTGCCTGTGCACATTAAAGTTATGACTTCTTCTGATGAGCCTGTCTGTGCTCCGAAAGTATTCGTGATGCAGCAGCAGCAGCAGCAGGTCTGAGGCTGCAGAGCTGAGGCTGCAGAGCCGAACCTGCAGCTGCCACGTATGAAAGGAGGAGTAAAGAAAGTCAGGACCCTCCCTCCCTCCCTCCTCAAACCAATCTGCCTCTCAGAGAGACTCTTGCAGAAAGTTTGCATCAGTCCTAAGACTTTTAACATCATTTATGGAATTGGGCCACAGCTCTAATACACATGTGGGATTGTTTTATGCCCCTGACGCACAGATTTATTGACTTTTGAGGATGATCTCCTTCTGGGACAGTGGTTTGTCCCAAGATAGAGCGTCTTTCCCCTCCAATTATGAAGTGCAGTGACTTTTATCACTTCTACATAAATACAAAGGGACATTAACCTTGAGGAGCCATAGCTGCGTCTGCAAAAGCATCTCTTTACCAAGGAGGTTAACGTTTTCACGCCTGTTCGTTGGTTTGGTTTTATTTACACAAACACTATTTAAAAAAAGGAATTGACATGAAACTTGGAGGAAGTATGCATCATGGATCAGGGAGGAACTAATTAAAGTTTGGTTTGGATCTGGGTCAAGGCGCGCCTCCAGGAATACTTTTAATCCTTCTTTAACATTGCCAGATACTGGCGTTTTTCAACGTTTTCACCAAATTCTCAGGGAATCATTAATGGATTTTGAAGAAAATAACCAGGCACATTCAAGGGACTGATATCTGTGAGTGTGCGAAATTTGGTGCTAATTGGTTGAACGTAAGGAGAAATTTGGGCTTTGGAAGTGTTCTGCGCTCTACTTTGCCATTTTAGCTAATTTGGTCCCAGAAAGTTAAAAAACCAGAAACCAAAGTGTCGGAGCAGCAGAGCCCATCCATTATTTCCTGGAGGGGACCGTGGGACAGCCCCCATCCGCATACCTCAGAGCAAAAAAGCCCCGTGGAAAGACACGACGCGCTCCCTGATACGCTGCTGCTCCTGGACGGGGAGACACACTCCGCATCCACGACTGCAGAACCAGCAGCTCCCCCTTCCACACAGACGCACACCGCCGAGCTCCGTCTACTCACAATGACGGCGAAGAACCGACATAAGAGCAGCTCCGAGAAGAGCGCAGCGCCCGTCATCCAGGATGAGGCGCCGAAGAAAAGCCAGAAGAGTCCCAGCAACGGAGCGACTGGCTCCCCGGGACCTCAGGGGCCACGGACGCGGGGCTGCCTCGGACTCGTCCTGACCACCGTGTTTTACGCAGCGTTGATAGGAGCCGCGGGGTTTGCAGCTCTCCACCTCCAGCAGGTCGCGGAGGAGATCCGACAGAACAGCGCCAGATACGAGCAGAGCGAACAGAGGAGCGCGGAGCTGGGCAGCAAAATGGAGAGCGTCGCTCAACAGGTATGGAGCAAAGTGATGGACAACTATCAGCAGGGGGTGATAACAAGAGAACGACTCAACGAGATCAGCTCAGTGCTGGATGTGAAGTGTAAACCCTTGTTTTTATGTTTTGCACGACTTTATATGCAGTTACATAACTTTCCACATACTTGTACTTCATGTTCTGGAGTCAACTACTCAGCAGGTATGTGGTACACTGCACTGATGGATGTGGTCACACCCTTTAAGTCTATTACCACCGTGCAAAAGTCCAAAAGTCCAATTAAAAGAATTTGGTTCAAATAAATGTGCTGCATCTTATTTTTTTTTTTATTTGATAATGTTATTTTGTGAGTGGTTGTTTTAGCAGCAGAGAGCAGATGAGGGTCAGTTCACATTGTCAGGGGGAAGGGACACCTACAGTGTGTGTGTAAGTTAGCTGCCATTTCATGTGTAAAGTACGGGAGTTGGCTCTTTATGGCTGATGACTCATCTCTTTTCTCAGGACTGAAAATTATTTGGAAATGTATGTTCTTGTTCCCTCGATTACATCATCTGTCCATTCATCCATTCAAAGTGTGTTTAACTGACACTGTTTAACTTTCACAACTTTCACACTCTCTACTATTGACTAAATATTTGCGAGGCAGACTTCAGTTGTGTGACTTAACTCCTTTCATGCAAATGTGTATTTGTCAGTGCAGCATGTTTGTAATGTTCATTTACTTTTCCACTCACTTCTAAAATAATGGCGGACTGAAGTCCTGTCTTGTTTTGTGAATATTAACCAGAGCTCAGACAGAAAAATCACATTTTTATCTGTTTCCTGCATCATCCTATATTTGCAAGATTATTAAAATATTGTGCTAAATCAACATTTGCATCAAGCAGATAACTTTAAACTAAGCACAACTCAACACAATTGTAAAATTAAGGAAAAACAAACTACTTTGACTGTTTCTAAGATCAAAAAGATCTTACATTTTCAAATATTCAAACATATTAACTAAATATGCTAAAAATTATTTTTTAATTCATAAAAAAAACAACACTAACATCCACTCAAAATATAATATTTGAAAATCCAGAGGCAAATAATTGTTAAGCTCAACTTATGGGGACTCTCTGGTGCTTTTAACCTCACTGTGTGGTCTTCATCAGAAAATGGATGTCTCCCAGTAAAACAACAAAACAAAATGTTCCTACTCCCGAAGCCGAATAAAAACCCAGGGGATCATCTGAAAAAGTAAAAAAAAAGCCCTTTTTGTGTTGTCTTATGCAAACCACACTGTTTTCCCGTCTTGTTGCACAGGTGGAGTCTCTGGTGAGCACAGTGGACAGTCTGGAGTCATCCCTGGGCATCACACGGCTGGAGCTGGAGAGGGCCATCAGCCGCATGAAGACGGGTGAGGTGGAGACGAGGAGGGTGGAGGAGGCCCTCCAGAACCTCCAGAACGATCTACTCAGGGACCTCTCGGAGGGCATCAGCGAGGTGAAGGAGGCCCGCGAGAGGGACTTCTCCTCGCTGGAGAAGACGGTGGAGGAGCGTCTGTCCGAGGTGAGCCAGTCCATCACGGTCAACATGGCAGAGTTCACTGAGGCTCAGGGCGAGGCGCAGGGCCAGCTGGCTGACCTCAAAGCCCGCCTGGGGGACATGGAAGACCCTACACTCATCAAACAGGAGCTCGCCACCATCGTCGAAGCTGTGGATGAAATCAGGACGGCCAAACAGATGGCAGACTCTTCAGCCAACTCACTCAGGGAGCAGATTGGCGCCGTGAGGGAAGAGCTCCAGACTCGCAACAAGGAGGTGGCCTCGCTGTCTCAGGAGGTGGAAACGGTGAGGTCGGTGGTGCAAGAGAATGTTGGGAGCCTGAGGCAGTCGCTGTCGGCCTCAGAGGCTGAGGTTCAGACCCTGAAGGACAAAACGCTGATGGTGGAGGGCGTGGCAGAGCAGGCCGCCGAGGCCACTCGTAGTATGGAGAGAGAGGTGAACGCAGCAGCCGCTCAGGCCCAGAGAAGATCAGAGGAGCTTGAGGCGAGAGTGAGAGCATCAGAGGAGAGTGGAGACTCACTGTCAGCATCAGTGTCAGAAATTACCTCCAGAGTGGAATCACTGCTCGCTAAGTTGGACAGTCACGAGAGCGCTGTGGCTGCACAGGGGCAGAAAGTCAAAGCTGGATTGGAGCAGGAGCTGGAGACGCTGAAAAGCAGCCTGGGGGAGCTGCAGTCAAACATGGCCGCTCTGGTCGGAGCCCAGACGCAGCTCTCTTCCAAAGGCTCCAGTCTGAATGAGCAAGTGAAGGAGTTGGAGAAGAGGCTCGCTGACCTGGAGGGCAGCGGCAGCACGAAGCCGGAGCAGCTGGAGAACCTACAGAAGATGGTGGCTGGATTGGAGAACAAAGCCTCCAAGCTCGAAGGCCACGATAAGGCCATCGCTGCTCTGCAGAAAGCTCTGCAGGACACCACAAAGAAACTGGCTGGCGTCTCCAAGAAGAAGTAGTTCGGTGAGAGATATGACATCAGGAAACTAGAACAGGGACAGCGATGAATCCAAACAGGCGACCACAACCCACTCCTCCGAACTCGATGAAGAATTAAAAACTTGAGCACACTTGAGGGTTGGGAGAGAGGGGCAGAGCTGGACTGCTGATCTGTGAATTCAAATCCACACCCATTCTGCACTGTACTTTTATTTTCAAATGTTTAATTCCTTTTTTTCTTTAAAGTTTTCTGTGCCAAGGCTGTTGTTTTTTTATACCTCCACATGAAAATGCAATAATAAGCTCCTCTTGAGCACCTCTTTGTTTACTCATTACATTTTATTGTTGTTGTTGTTGTTGTAGGAATAAAAAGCTCTCGTCCACCTAAAAATTGTGAGATATTATTTCATGGCGTGAACTTTGTTGCTTTTACTGATGCATCATGGGTGATATGTTGATTGCATGGGTGGGAATGAGAATTTACACTTGTTAATTGATTCAATTCTCACTACATGTTTCTAAGAAAGCAAATAATTCTGAATTTACTAATGTTTTTCAATTTATCTCAGAGCTCCACACCATTTTTTAATCTTTGGCAGGACATACAGCATCACACATGGAGTCAGACTGATAAACTGTCGAACAGCAGTGCAGAATAAGATAGATCGTTTCCTCTGTCGTCATTACGCCCTTCACTACACAACTTCAGAACGACCTGTTTTGTTCGAGGGTGTTTGGAAGTTGATAAATAGTTTGCAGGGCCCAGGAGAGGTAAGGGAATACTCACAGTATCAGTGTTGCAGGGCCGGGCGGTGCAGAGACCTTCAGAGGGGCTGGTGCTCACAGTTCTGATGGGACACATGGAAGAAGATTTTAAAACACAGATATAAACTTCAGCTCAACCTGTTGAATTATATCAACTCATATTCAAACAGAGTGAAATATTTAATCTAACTACATCATAGTTTATGATTTAACAGAATTTCTTCTGAGGTGAACTTACCCCGTACTTCTCCTTCTCTCACTGAGGAACCAAGTGCACGGTGAAATATTATGTAGTTGTGGAAATTCAAGATGGAGGGAACTAGAATTTGTGTGCTGAGCATCGAGGACGTGTCACTGTCCATCCAAGGCTTTGTTCGTCGACTAATATGAAATATCTTGAAATCTAAATAACTAAGATCCTTCATAGAAAAATTTAAATCCATAGTTTTACAACGAGGCCTCAATTTGCCCACATCCTCATCTCAAGGTGTAGAAGCTGTTTCAACACTTAGATTTTATAGAGATCGAGTTGTAACACGAGTGTATTTTTATTGAAAATGTATCAAGGATTCGTATATTGTACTTATTTGCTGAATGTGAATGTCAATACCCCATCCAGTTAGCTTAGCATAAATTCTAAAAGCTAATAAGAGCTGAAGCTGCACACAAACCCAAACATAACATAACTGTGGAGGTGAAGGGGCGGAGAGAGCACCTTCACCTGCACCACTGAGGATCAATCAGCACAGGTGAGAGCTGTTAGCTGATTGATCCTCAGACTTTAAAAGGAGGCAGCAGAGCTGCCTCGGGAGAACACGGGGGACACACTGAGAGAACACTGAGAAACGCTCAGAAGGACACTCGAGAGACACGGGGTAAAAGAGACTGAAGCTGAAGGTCCAGCAAATAGTGCTGGACCTTCAGCTTGGTCGAACGCCACACTGGGGCAGTGTGGCGTTCGACCACGCCACCGGGTTCCCCTCACGACAGCCAGAGACAGACCAGTTCAACCATTGCGGGTTCAGAAACATCTTTCTTTATTAATATCAACTGAAACTTTACAAATCATGGAACTTAAATGGTCCAGCACTATTTGCTGGACCTTCAGCTTCAGTCTCTTTTACCCCGTGTCTCTCGAGTGTCCTTCTGAGCGTTTCTCAGTGTTCTCTCAGTGTGTCCCCCGTGTTCTCCCGAGGCAGCTCTGCTGCCTCCTTTTAAAGTCTGAGGATCAATCAGCTAACAGCTCTCACCTGTGCTGATTGATCCTCAGTGGTGCAGGTGAAGGTGCTCTCTCCGCCCCTTCACCTCCACAATAACATTTAGAAAGTAACATGCTGACAGATTTAATCTTTCTCAAAGCGTGAGAGTTAAATGTCCACTCATTTCACAGATCACGTCCGAGTTTGTTTCATATTTATTTCAGTAAACCTCTGTACAGTAGTTTGACAGTTGACCAGATGTAAAACAGAGTGAAAAACTAATGAAATCCTTCAGCCAGTCTGAAACTTGTCCCGAGGATGGGACTCATGTTGGCCGGTGCATCTCTCCAATATCAGATATATCAGCTATTTCACTGACCTGTTTGGCTGTGACACTTAAATCTCCCTCTACTGCAGTTAGATTAGTTAGAGTCTGTCTGAGCTCAGTTATCTCCTGCTCTCTTTTAGTCAGATCCTCTGCAAGTCTTCCGATCCGCAGAGTCAGATCCGACAGCTGAGGCTCAAACGCCCCAAAGTCCCTCTTGATGGCGGCCACCTTTGGTTTAAGGTCACTGGCGAAGGTCACCGTCCTTATGAGTCGAGCTCTGCCGCTCTCCAGCTCCCTCAGACGCTCAGAGATCTGATCGTCTGCGGTGGTGAGTTCAGGGATGCGCCTGCGGAGCTGCTCTATGGCCTGGGCGTTGCGTTCGGACACAGCCCGGAGATTGGACACCCGGTCCATGCTGCTGGTCAGCACGTCCCCGATGCGTTTGACCATGCTGTGCTCCAACCGGGTGGTCTGGTCCTCCAGCTCTCCAACCTTAGCGAGCAGAGACTCCAGCTCAGAGTGCAGGCCGTCCATCCTCCGCACATCTGTCCTCACTGATGCCACCTGGGGGGGGTACAAGAAATAAAGAAACTGAGAAACACATCTGAGAAACCAAATGTTTTATCATGTGTGTTTTATTTTGAAGGACAAAACAAGACATTTTAAGGGTCATCTCTGCTATAACTGATTATAACATAGTTTAAACAAATTCCTGATGTTTTATAGACAAAAATATAAAACATTTGGAGATGAATTGATCATTAATTGATCCTACGTACCTTGTTGGCAAAGTCCATCGTGATGGTCGAGGTGCGTCCCTCAATCTGCCCCACAGCGTCTCTCAATGCCTCCATGCTGGTCTGCAGTTGAGCTCGTTTCTCCGTCAGCCCAGACGCCCACTCCTTCAGCCGGCCGACGTCCAGCTCCAGAGCCTCCAGCTGGGGCCGCAGAGCTCCCCGCTGACCCCCGAGACCCTCCAGCATCAGCTGGACGCTCTCGCACTGAAACGGCAGATGTAGTACATAGAGGAGGGGAAGTAACACATTATTTACTGAAATCATCTCAGGGGGAAATGGTGCTTTAAATACTCAACACACTTAACTATAAGAATCAAACAAATTTTATTAAATTAAACCGAATTATGAAAAGATTGTCATGTTTTAAACTAAAATCAGATGCAAAAGCATCAGTCAACACAAATAATATGATTCATTACACAGACTGATGAATGATTCAAATAAAACACACGAGACAATAATGTCATCAAGTTGCCTGTTTCTTCTCCAACAGTCTAAATACTAAAGATATTCAGTTTACAATGGAATAATAAAGAAAAACAAACAAAACAAATCTGCCGTTCACAAACTGCAACTTGAAGAATAACTGAAGACAAATAAATAACAGCTGTGGAAATCTAAAAGCATGAATCTACATTAACTGAGCCACTAAAACATATAGTTGATTGTGTGACACTAGTGCAGTGATAATCACATGAGGATAAACTGAGACACACACGTTATAAAACATTAACACTGGGCTTTAACAACAGAGACAGAACCGCTCCTTCTCCCTCGCTACACGAAGACTGTGACATCATTCAGTGATGTCATCATGAAGAGGTTGATTTATTTCACCCTCCTCATATTTTTCCCACTCCTCCTCCTCCTCCTTCCATTCCTCCTCCTCTTCCACAGTGTCTATCTCTCCGTCAGCCCTGTTCTCCCTCAACACCGCGGTGAGTTCACGGACGGCCTCTTTAACCACGGACAGTTCGTTCTTCATCTTCAGGATGCTGTTCTGAGCCTGCAGTGTGTCCAGCTCCTGACGTATCGCCAAGATTTCATTTAGCGCTTTCAGCATGCTGTCCTCGGTCCCGAACACCTGTAGCGTCACTTCCTCCAGCCGCCTCTCCGCCCCGCTCAGATCGCCCCCCAGCCGCAGGATGGCGCGCACCGCCTCCTCCACCTTCGGCAGGTGCTCCTCACACTCCTGCGCCCGGGGGATGTGCTCCTGCAGCTGGGAGTGGAGTTCGGCCTCACTCTTGCTCAGGCTGCTGATCTGCTCCTGCAGCTTGTGGATCTGCTTGGTGTTCCAGTCCAGCTGGTCCTGCGCTCGCTTGGCGTCGTCCACCTCCGTGCGCTCCAGAGCTCGGGCGTTCCTCTTCGTGCTGTCCTCCAGCTCCTCCAGCCTCTCTGCCAGCGACCTGGCCCTCCGCTCGGCCTCATTCACCCGGTCGGTGGATCCGGCGTGAGCCTCCCTCGACTCGACCTTGAGGGAAGCCAAGTCGGAGGTGACGGTCGCCAGACGCTCCTGCCACGTCTCTGTCACGTTGAGGAATCGGGCGTTGACCGCCTGCAGGTCACGGGAGGCAGAGTTTTCATCAGCCTGCATCGCCGTGACAGCAGCGTAGAGGTCGGAGATGTCCTGCTGGAGTCTTGTTGCCAGGGAGACGGTGGAGAGCGCCTCCTGTAGGTCATCCTCAGAGGCGGCAAGCTGCAGCCGCAACACAGAACATGAGGGCTGTTTGTGTAGGAGCTCTATGGTCCTCAGAATTTATATATAACTCATAAACAGTGGGAAACAAAGCTCATGCACTGAGAACAAGACTGTCAGGAGCATATGAGAATAAAGGATCCATCATCTAAAAACACTTTGTGCTCAGTCTAATTCTGGTTTTCTTAACTTTTTGAACTCAGTGTTGTCATGTGGAGGACATGTGATGAACCACAGTGATTCCTTAATGTTTAGATCCAACATAACAAAATATTACGGCTATGGGTGACGCCATCTTGAGCTTTTGATGTAATTTGTAGCCAGAGTCTGGAGGTCCTGGTCACATGATTAACCAATCATGAGTCAGTCTCAGCTGTGGCTTCACCTCATTTTTATACCATCAAATAACTAATTAACACTTGCAAAGAATCCGCATGATGAGAACGGCCATCTTTATTTAATGTGCACTTTGACTTGTTTGTTTGACCCATGTCCCGTCCACTAACATGGAGGAGGCCGGGTTTTTTTTTGTGTACTTTAAACTTAAACAAACATTTCACCCACATTACAAAATTAGCTCAGGGGTGAAGTTGCATGTTGCAGCTGAACACCCCTCACCCCAACCTCCTTCAGTTGTCATAGAAACTCAGAGGGTGTTTGGTTTGTCCAGTCTGGGCTACTGTAAAAAACATGGCGGCCTCCGTAAAGAGGACCGGCTCCGGATGTAAATATAAAGTATTTATATATCACATGTGGATTCAAGAGTAAAGAATAACCACATTTCATATAATTTAGGTGATGACACACTAGTAAATCTTACACACTGGACCTTTAAGACTGCGTAGGTGTAAACTAATTAAACTCCATTATTTCTAAGGTGGAGGCAGAAATATTCAAAGTAAATAAAAGTAAAAGCACAGTGTGTGGTGTGTTTTTGTACTGTGGGTGATTAGAGCATTTAACTCCGGGTCTGTGAAGCAAACTCACCTTCTTAGAAACTCTGAGGACTTCTTCCTCCATGTTGAACAGACTGGAAGTTTTCCCCTGAAGAGATTTGTACTTTTCCTCCATGAGTGAAAACCTCTGGTTCTGCTGCAGCACCATCCTGGAAACACACACACACACACACACACACACACACAC